CAGTCCCTCCCCTGACCGTGCCCACCCCCCCCGAGCCCCCCCAGCCATCCCGGGCACCGTGGGGTCCCTCGTCCATCCCGGGGTGGCTGCGGGTGCTCGGGGCGGGAGGAAACCCGCTCTGCCCGTCTGCGGCACCCACCGGGCATCCCCATCGCCTGGGCTGGGCCAGGCCTTCCCCCCGCCGTTCATCCCCATTTCACTGCCGCACTAACGACAATTCTGTCTTCATAAGAGGATTTTGCTTAGTTGGGCAAAAGCGGCCCCACATCAGCGCCAGGGGTTTAATGACAGAAATTGAATTACGTTACCAGGCCGACGCAAACTTCCCTGGTTGTTTAAAAAATCATTCATTTCCTCCGCCGTAGCCTCCCGCTGACCTCCCTTTTTAATTTTTTAATTTTTTTTGTTCACATGCCATGAAGAGGACCTGCCTCTTTGACCCTCCTCAGGATGGCTCCAGCGGACGGCAAAGCGGCCAGAGCACGGCGAGATTTAGATTAATTCTCCTAATAAAGACGACAAGCCCTGTAGAAATTACGTTACGCAAGGAAAAAGAAAATGACCTGGAGGCATTAGGAAGCTCTAATTACTGTTATTCCTTGGAGCCAGCGCCATGGGAGGAGCGAGCCGGCTGGCCGGGCAGTCCTCCGCCTGCACCCATCTGCTTTTACCTGAAATTTTCCCTCGTGTTTCAAGTGGGCTGCCTGGCCTCACAGGGATGGCTCCTTCTTTTCTACTTGTATCGTTCTATTTAATTTTACCCTTTGATCAACAGTTTTTCTCACTCTGGCTGAGCCCACGGGCTGCCCCGCGCCGGCTGTGGGCATGGTGGCACACCGAGGGCAGGAGGATGCACCTGGCTGTGAAGATGCACTGAAATCCCAAAGCAGCACTTTTGGGGTTTGGCACATCGGGGTGACCCTTGGGGCAGGGACCTCGGCCGAGCTCGGGGTGCCCTCGCACAGTCCGGTCCCAGCAAACGGGTGCCTTCAGCCCCAGCCATGACCCCAAGTGTGCTGGGGTCCCATCCCGGCGGTGGGCTCTGGAGCATCCGTTTCCTTAAACGGGATTATTTGAATTCCTTTTGGGGCAATAAGGGCTGGAGCTGGTTTTGTGTCAATTCCAGAAAATGAAGTGATGGAAATTAAAAAAATACTATGCACCCCTGATTTCCCAGAGATGTGGGGGCTGTCAGGAGGCGAGGTGCCTCCCCATCGCCCGGTTCGTCCGCTCCATCCCGGGGAGCGTACCTGTCCCTCAGCACATCCAGCAACAGCTGGAGAAAATTAAAGGCTTATTCCACTTCATTCACTGATAACAACTCCATCTCCCCCTATTCCGGGCTGCCTCCCACCCCGGGATGCCGCTCGCCGGGCAACCGCTGGCCTCGCTCCTGGGGTTTGGTTCATCCGGCTGAACCTCCCAGAGCCACGAGGTGAGGAAATTTGTTTTCGGTTTGCGGTGTGCGTTAATTAGGGAGATAATGACTGGAAACATTCAGAGCGAGTCTGAGCGCGCTGGAAAAATGTTTAGCCCAAGGAAAATTCAAATCTTTTTTTTTTTCCCCTTCCCCGGCTGTTGAGATCCAACTTTTTAAGGCAATTAGTGAGGGTTTATTTGTTAATCAGTCATACTTATATGCTTGCTTTGGGGTCTTATCTCATGCTTCCAAGTGCACATCGCTTC